ACAGAGCCACAAGGTGGTGAACCAGATGCCTGTCAAAGGCTTCATCGTGAGAGTCCAGCATGAGGAAGATCAAATCGAGCCTTGATAATAACATGTGAGGTAGCTGGATTATTACCAATAGCTGTTTTCTATTGAGACTCAATAGAATTTGCTGCTGCCAGGATACAGGTGCATGCATTGAGCTGACAAATAATCCCAGCCTTCAAAATGGAGAGAGCCAGCTGTCCCATGACAGTGTGCAATGCTGGTCTCATATTTGCATTCATCTTCTCAAACTTATAATACAGCAGATACTATTGTCACTTAGGTCAAAGGCCTTCAGGACCACCGGCCTCATCTCAGGGTCTTTTGCTACTTACACTGTGAAGTCAGTCCCAGGAGACTGGGTCATACACATACTGCAGAGGCTGGGACTTACTGGTCCCAGGGTCACCACACATCAGGATTTGCCTTCAGCACAAAGTCTGTCCTTTGCCATATGACTAAAATCTTTCTTTTTTCTAAGGAAGAGCTGAAGCAAGAGTCCCTTTTTAAAATCTTGATGTTCTTACATGCTTTGAGTGGAGACTGAAGCAATCGTTTCATAGACGCCTCGTTTTCCATAGAGCTCCTTCAGCAATACCACATGCTTCTCTGAAAACAAGTTTCCATTCTGTATCTTCATCTGCTTCTTCATGCAGATGTTGTGCATCCATTTTCTGATAATAATTGCTGTCAATGTGGGTTTTGTAGACAGACTTCACATTACTCACTCTTGAATTGACTCAGTAAGAACAACTCAATCGATGTCTGTAGTGTTTACTCTGTCCCCAGGTTGAACCTTGTCAACAAGATCATTGTGAGTAAAAAGGATGACAGCATGAAGCATCTGCCTTGCAGGCTTATTTTTTAGAAGACTGCTGATGTTTGATCCATCTGCTTGTCTGAGAACACAGTGATTGTGGGTCAGCATTCACCCACGTAGAGCTCAGAGATTCAGCCATGGTCTATCTCCACCAAGGCAGTGTGGGTGCATACCTGGCATTGCAAAAGGACTTCTGCATCTCGGGAAGCAGGTGAGACATCCTAATCAACATGCCATTTATGGTGATAGACTGGTCAATGTCTTCTGAATTCAGGTTTCTCATGTAATTAATCTTCAGCACATTGAATGGTCCTACTTAAATCTGATGGTGTCTGATTGAATCTGGTAACTGTCAAAGAAGATCTCATTGACAGCCATGTTAAAAAATGGGATAACTTCTTGTGGGTGGTGGATGAGCTGTCTGTACAGATTTTTGTCAAATAACTTTATTCACAGTTTACACTTTAACATGGTTCCCCAATAACATTAATCACCCCATCATTGCATGTACAAACATCCAGCAATATCTATGACAACACTGTCTTCTTTAGACACAGGGTCAATAAAATGTTGGAAGGAACCCCCCCAAGTTTTCTTTACATGTTGCCATATTTACATATGTTGCTCAAATCACAAGTTTGTGGCCTAGACGCTGCTCACTAGCCACTGTATCCTCTGTAACTGGCCTATCCTGCAAATTCCCCTACAGACCCTTTCATGTAGACCCCACATCAGGCTTCTATCTCATGGGTGTGCTGCTAACACCACAGCTTGGGGTTCCCTCCACCCAAGAGCTGAAAGTGTCCCATGTCAGTGGTGAATTAGCATTAAAATCAAGATAAATAGTTGAAGGATGCATCAGAGGAGAACTGGAAAATAGTGTGTCCCATGTGGCAGGGTTGTGAGGACAGTTCTAAGCCAGGTTGGCATCAACAACAGCTCTCCTTAGAGGTAGAATCCTTATATCTACATCTTTGAGATGTAGATGACCTGGCATCCTCACCTGGAGCAGGAAAAGATGACCACCTCTGAGGTTCATAAACTCTGGGGTGTACCTGACAGGTCATTTCCCAGACAGCCTCAAGAACATGTTTTTTTAAAGTTTTTGAAAGTTTTAGAAAGATACAAAGTATTAGAATTAGGTGATAACATTAATTTTACTTGAGGACGATATTAATGGCTACTTGAAAAAGACAAGGGAATAAACTATGAAGGAAGAAGTGAGAATCAGGAGTCAAGTTTCAAGGGTTGGTCAGCTCGATCACAAAATATGTCAAACATCAACATCAACAATTGCTTTACATACTTACAATATCTAGTTGGAAAACATAATGGAAATAAATTCGATTCATGATAGTGTGTACAAATATGCACATACACAGAGACATACATATTCAAAACTTTATAAAATTTTAGGAATAAAATATAATGCAAATAAGTATGAAGGACACTAGTCTTTACTAAGGGCTATAAAAAGGTGACTATGTGGATAGATACCATGTCCACAGATGGGAAGACTCAGTATTTTTAAAATTATAAATCTCAAAGTGGATCTCTAGAAGTCATATAAATAGCAATGGCTTGGGGGTAACTGATAATATCTGGGAGAAATAAACACTTGAGAATTGACCACTATTTTTTTAAAAAGAAGAGAATGTGGAAGAACCTATTTTACAGCTAATAAAATACATTGTAAAGCTTCCATACAACAGTTTCCTGGAAACTTCCACTTCCCCCCTTATAAATGTACTGGACATTTACAGTATTTACATCAACTACATTGCTTCTTAATTTTTTTTTGTCTTACCCCCCCCCAAAGAATATAAATTAATTAAGGGACAGATCCTCATTCTTTCACTTGTCTCCTCACAGCGACTCAGAGGCTTTGTAAAGTATATATAGCATGTACTTAATATAGACATGCAGTGGTTTCTTGAATGTAATTAAAAATTTTATCACTAGAATGTCCCCATTGTAATAAAGAGCCTGACCTCATTTGTGATGTTTGGCTGCTGATTTCTTTCTAAGCTTTGGTCTCCCTTTCCCCTTTGGCTCCACATCTGGACATGCTGATCAAGAAAGCTCATCCTGCACCTGCTTCACTGAACCCAGTAGGAAATGTAAGTCTTAAAAATCTCTAGCCCAAGTAAATGGGAAATTTTCCCAGTCTCACCTACTGGCCACTAGCAAGACCTGGCCCACCCTTGCTGCTTGGGTTGAGTCAGCCAGGACATCCCTGAGGCCATTCTGCTCTACTGGGAGTTCCTATATGAGTAGTAATGTTCTTTCAAATTTTCTTGGTACACGCAGTATTATCAATGACATCTGAATGAGATGACAAAAACACTCATATGAGGCAAAGTAATATGATTGGAAAAAAATTACTCCATTTTTGTTGAAATCAGTTTGAAATATGGGAAAACAAATAATGAAACTGAGCATGTGATTCTTGACCTCAGGGTTATATGTTCAAGCCCTACTGGGCTGAGTTTACTTAAAAAAATAAGGAAACTGAATATATCTGCAATGATATATATCATTCAAAATTAGTCTCTAAATACATAGAATGGATATATTCCTTTAAAAGTGTCACTGGGCTGAAAGCTTACTGGGACAAATACACAAATATTCCCCCCAAAAATAAATGTCATAATTATTATATCTAAATTATTGTTTTGATTATACATTTTTCAACAGCATCATTTTGTATAATGAATTGCTCCATGAGAACCACCTACATATTATGGTGTCTCTCTTTTCCCTCCCACTAATACTTCCACTAAATAAGTATCTCCTAAGCAACCTCCCAAACTATTATCCTGCCTTTGTGAGAAACCTTCAGAAGAATGAATATATTCGGGTTCCTGCATCCCAGCCAAACCATGAATTAATAAATTGGCAGGATCAGAATCATGTTCAACAACTTCCCTTGGATTCATACCTGCCAAATCTCTACACACACAGATAGGGAGATCGTGGCGACACTTTGAGTTTAGATTTGACTTACTCATTTTTTAGTTGAAATATCTTATTCTGCCAATATAGTCAATGCATTGAATTCTCAAGCACTTCTGTTGATAAGAGCCTAAATTCTCATTAAAGCGATTCTTTTCACAAAGAGGAAACACACCAAGAGAAAGCTCCAGGATAGTCTCCATTTGCAACATTTCCTTCTTCCACTTCCTGGTTTCTTTTACAGCTCGCTCACTTCTAATGATAAACTTTTAAATTTCTCTCTCGCTTTTCTAAATACGTTCATATTTCATTCAACTAGCTGTTTCTCTTTTTGTTTCAGGAGAGAAAGGCAAACACATAAGAGAGAAAAAAGATGGGTAAAATAAGGAACATCAACTTCCAAATGTCTGTCTTCTTTGTGTAAAGGGTACAAGAGAAATTTGTTTGTTTTATTAATCATTTCATTTTAAATCCAAGAAGCTGTGTGAGACAAACGGAAAATGCCAGCGAGGATGACATGACAAAGAGGCTAATAAACTGCAGAACGCGTATGCCGTGGAGAGGAGTTAAGCACCATAAACTGCCTCCCAGGAACAGAGCACGTAACTCAGCCAAAGCGGGTCACAGCCTGGCTAAACACCACGCTGACAGTGAGGAAGAAGAATGCAGCAAATATCTCAAATAGTTCATGAAGGCTGAAAAATATTAACTGTTTATGAATTGTATCTTTATCATATGATAAATTAAGGATCATCTCCTCTAATGTCTTACCATGTATCGTGTATTCCAAAGACAGTGAAGTCTTAAGCTTATTTTTTTTCAGTTGATGGTGCATTTTAAAGCATTTTAAAGAAAAAGAAAACCCCAGCTATTTGTACTTGTGACAGGCACCAAAATAATTGGAGTATCGCTAATCCTAAAGGTATAACAAAGGCAGTTGAAAATACTTCAACCACTAACTTTATACCTGCATATAATTCCCTGATGTGTAAGGAAGGGCTCCTTGTTTTATGCATGTATGTGACTTTCTGATGTTGTTTCTTTTAATATTTCATTTCTCTATTACACCGTCTTGCGTTTTACATTGACGACAGTATTGGTGATGACAAACATCCTTCTAAAAGATATCTCAACAAAAGACAACTTAATGTATCCCCTTTCCATGAAAATTAAGGGGAGTGAAACGTTAGCCAAAAGTTACCTTCTTGATGGTCTCCAGCATGGAACGCCCTCCCTGCCAAGGCTTGGAGTTCTTTCTGATACACGACAAACTGGCCATGCTGTGCCATTTTCGGTCCTCCAGTTTCTTATGAAAAGCATTAGCAAGCAAAAGCACCGTGTCATATATGTAAAGGTTTGAAATCTGAAAAGACATTAGACCGTAATCATTAGAATCCTTGATGCCTACCATTGAGAATAAGGGGAAAATCATCAGCTCGGCTGCTTCCCTTCATGTCATAGATGGCTGGTTTACTGGGTTATTTATTAAGCAAAAGGTTTCTTTTTTTCATTTCCTGGGCAATTTCGCCATTGACAATGAAGTCTTGTCTGATTGTATGCCTCAATTGCTTTCTCGGCTTATTTAGGTGTGAAAGGGAAGATAAAAAGGAAGTTTCGACAGAGGCGAGGCTGGTAGTGTCAGACCTTTGAAAATCACTGGCCCTCATTTCTTTCCGAAGAGGTAAGGATCTAAAGGTTTCAGATTGGAAGGGCAAACTGAATAATACATTTTCTGAATATGTCAAGTTTTTGCATTCTGATTATTCAGATGGAGAAATATCAACTTGATCTTACATATAAAATGAGTGTCATAGGTGCAAGAAAAAGGAAGCGGCCATCTGTGTGTATGTGTCTGTCTATGGGGATTCGGTGATGAGAAAATGAGAGAACACAGTGCCATTCATAAACATTATAATTATCAAGGATCTATACAAACTTATCTAGGTATACACAGGAATTGCAATTCAATAGCATGACAAATACCATAAACTATGAACTGTGGGTGAATATGTGTTATATATATTAATGCTTTCTTCTTCCAGAGTAATCATGTCATTATCTCCCTTCTATATAAATTAAAAAAATGAACTGAAAATTTTTGCTCTGACCTATTGCACTCTTACAATTAACTCTTGCCAGAAGTACTATCCATACTGTCAATTGCAGAAGATGTTTATTTTCTGAAGATATTAGAAATTATTTAGGAAATATAAACACCAAGATACATCCAAATTCAGTAAAAGATTTTAAATGGTTTATTACTACTTCTCTGAAGGAAAAATAGAACACAAAGTAAAAAAAAAAATGAGAAATCACTGTAGCTATGGAAGTTAAATCCATCTTAAAGCATTTAAATCTCCTCAGTTTTAAACATATCTTATCACAGTTTTTTCCTGAAAACAAAGGTGACAATATGTTGATTGCCCTTTGTTTATAATTAATTATAATTAATTACTAAGGAATCTTGTGAAATTGTCTGCAACGATCACAGAATGGCACTAAATTTCAACTATTGGGATGACAGTTTAATATTATGAAAAACTGTTAATAAGCACTTCCTAACAGTGCCTTGTGAGTTTTCTTTCATTACTAGGTGAATCTTAATCATTTGTGTTTGTTAAGCATCATTTTATATGCATAGTACTTAGGGAAGGCAGGCCTTTCTTTAAAGAGACATGGACATTAAGGGAGGCTTGTGATGTAACGAACATTAGATATTATATAAGACTGATGAGTCACTGACCTCTACCTCTGAAACCAATAATATGTTATATGTTAATTAATTGAAATTAAATAAAATAAATAAGTAAAATGATGTGACTTGAAAGCAAAATAGATACTGCATATTCTCATGCACTATGTGAAATACCAGTTTGTTCTTTATAAGGAAATAGTAGGACAGGCTACTCTCACCTTCACCTCCCTGAACCTCCCCTGTCTGATAATTACTAGAGAGAGTAGGGGCGTGGATGAAATCTGCAATGAATGAGGACTTGAAGATAAAAGTAGATGATGAGTCAAAATTCAGTTTGAATTAGATTTTGAAGACCTGAAAGGAAAACCTTTGGACATTTTCTCAATAATCTGCAATACTCTGGCCTCTTTTAACCTTTCCTTGCTTCGCTGCCTCAACTTGCTTGCTCTTAACTCTCTAGCTCTCCTTGGCTTCTCCCTCTGACTGATTTAAATATATACATGAAATGGTAGGAGTAGCACTCTTTGATGTCTCTTTACCTTTCTCCAACTACCTAACTTCTAATATTCAATTTGCAGGTCACAGGTGAGATGAATCCTACCCTGGCTATTTCTCAGGACTCTACTTGTTTCCAGGCTAATTGGGCAGTCTTCTTTATCTCCCATGATGCTCATGTTGCATGCTTCTACTTGTAACATGTAATGGTAAGATTTTTTTTTTTTTTTTTAATCTGGTTTTCACACTAGAATATGAGTTCCTTCCAGATAGGGCTCATAGTGTCCAAATGTTTCCCCTCTGTAATTTGGTTTCCCTTCTTCTTTATTTCCTCCTGGCTTAGCCTGGAGCCTAGCACACATTTGGCTTTTGATAAATAGTTGTCAAATAAGAGAAGACAAAGAAAAGAAAGTCAGGTTTAATGTCAGGTACATCTGACAGAAGTCCAGATGTGAGAAACCTGGCAACTTGTGTTCCATCCTAATCTTGACATTGCCATGGCACAGGGTCTCTTGCAAACTCTGAGGCATGTGTCTTAATCATCCATGCTGCTCCTAAAGGTGAATGCCTTGTCTTTGATATGACAGGTGTTTTTGACAAATGGCTGCCTCTCATTCCCACCTTCTGAACTATGGAATTGAAAGGAGGTGATGACATTCTCTGAGATTTCCATTACCCCTTCTGGTAGTTGTTTCTCAGGGAAGTGCCTATTCTGTTTTGAGGTTCATGCTCTTTCCTATGCTGAGGTCCTATTCTGCTATCACCTATTGGTCTGTTGGTCACTCTGTATTCATGAGGTCTTTGACTCCTCTCTCACAGTGATTCTAAACTATCTCCGTCCATTAAAAAAGTCACTGCAATTCCTACAGAGATGATTTTGACTTTTGTTCTGGCCACAACCAACAAGAGTGACTGTTTGCTGGAACCAAACACATACCTCCTCTAACATCTCAAACTCCATTTTTCCACCATCTGACCAATCATTTCTCTCTATCTTACTGTCACCACACTCGTTTTCTGACTTAACTGAGCCCCCAGCACCCACCTCCTTTATAAGACAATCTTCTAATATTTGACAGCAGCCATGACTTGCCCTGAAACATCCTCTTTCCTTCAGTTGTTCATCATTTGGTGTAACTTCTAGGCTGCTCACCATCTCAGCATTTTTCTTCTGTCCTCTTAGTTTTTGATGTTTCTGTTCAGAGTTTAGAACTCATAGCCAACACATTATTGCAGATGTGATCTGTCAAGGACAGAGTAGTCTAAGGGGTTATCTCTCTTGATCTCAGCAAAATGCTCCACTAAGGAGACCAAGATCACATTAAAATTGCTTAGAGCCAAAAGGACTTGTGCTATGTTTAAACAAAATTTGCCTTCATCTTAATAACCTTAAACAGCTATCAAACCAGGTCTTATCCATCCAGACTTCTTGTAATGATTTTGAACCTATCCTTTATCTCCTTGAAATGTCAAATTTCACATTCATTTTTAGTCAGCAAATATGAATAATTTGGATCTTGATTATATAACACAGCATAAGCTTTCTCTCCTAGCTTTATGTCATTTACAAATCTGTTAGGCATTATTATTCACTTTTATTTGTGTAATGGTAAATAATTAAAAATGTAAGTTCCAAGAATATTATTTTCAGATGACCATAGAGAGTTCCTTGCACTTCAAGAGTAGAATATTTATCATTATGGTTGAGCAACCTCTTAGTTCCATACTTCCCAAATTGAAGTTAAAAGAAGTTATGGATATTAGAAGTACTCAGAGCTACAAAATATATCTGAGCTATGTTCCAGGCATATCAAATTTGCTAAAAGATTTGAGGAATAAACAAAGTTAACTGGTAAATTATTTGGAATATTACGTTTAATTTTAAAGAAACTCATAAGTTATAAATTTTAAGATGAGACTTCCACATATTTCTATTTCACATATTTCTAACTTTTATTTTTTTCTTCTTTTTTAAATCTAAAAATAATGTTTACTACGATCTTCTAAGTTCTTTATTGAAATATTTGTGTGACATTAACCTATCTAGACTTTTTAATGCCTTTCTATAAAGATTTCATAAGAAAATTGGTAAATTCCACCTAAAAGTCAATATACAATAAACAGATTTATAACATTCTATCTTTATAAAAAAATTAGTAAATAGGATTTAGTTTGGTAGTGCTTACCCTTAAGGAAGTCCTATTGTCATATTTGAAGTATCCCAAACCATGTATTTAGTAATATATTCTACAGTTTATCCAAATATCAACTTTTAGTGTATTAAATTCTGTCAGAATCATTTTCCTTCCTTTGGAAATTGGAACAATATACCAATCTCATATACTTGGGTCTTCTATCCAAGTATTTTTCTGGTATTTCTAAATTGTAATATTGTGATCATATCTACTGTTTTATTTACTATTCTAAAACAATTATTATTTAGACCTCATTTTAAAGCAGTAAGGCATATGCTTACCATCTCCAAACCCTGCTCCTTATAAACCAGTGGTTTATTTTTTAAAAATCACTTTAACTCTAATTTTTCCAATTTGAAGACAATTTTGCTTAGATGGAGATAACAAAAGCAAACAAAATTGAAATTTTCTATTTTCTCTCCATTAGTAGCCAACCTAACATTAGTTTCACCAAGCAGTGAATGCCTCACTTTTTTCTTGTTTCATATATTGTACAAACTTTGTCTCTAGAGCTAAAAGTTTTCTTTAACTTTATTTTGCAACTTCAACTCATCCTTGATTTTAGTCTTTCTGGCATGAATTTAAAACTTTGGAAAGCTTGTTTTTTGTTTATAACAAAACAAATCTGAATCTTCTTTCTCTGTATATTAAATTAAGTAACAGCCCAGAGACCCACATGTACTCTCTTCTCCCCTGTTGTACTGACTATTGTGATTTTATAGTTTGGGTTTCTATTTAATAGTTGGGTCTCTATTTTTAGAGCTCACTTGAGTCATATTTTCATACTTTTACTTTTTCTGAGTTATTTTTAATAGTACCCTGCTGATAAGATAAAAATCTGTGATCCTGTTCACGGGCAGTTTTTTATAGGCTCCAAGTTGGGAGGGTTACGTCTCTGAAGGAATCCCTTACTTCAAATTTTTTAAAACAAATTTTTTATTCTTGTTGCTTCCTCTAACTTCGGTGAGATAAAATTTTTACCAAGAGAAGCCTCTATATCATATGTTGTGTTTTTAGTGGAACATCTTAAATTAATAGCCCTGCATTTAGATTCTTAATTTTTATATATATATATATATCCACATATCAAATTTTCTGTCAATTTTTCTTTTATATACTAGATATTTTCTCAAAGCCTATTATGTATAATAGGGAAGTTATTATGTAATAAATCCTCAAACAAAAGTAATTTTTTTATTTCCTTCCATCTGTGGGTTTTACAGGTGGAAGACAAAGGTGTGGGATAAGAGGCATGGTGCTTCCTTAACTCAGTATAGAGGTCTGGGGCTATGAAGAGAAAGAAAGAAAGAAAGAAAGGAAGAAAGAAAGAAAGAAAGAAAGAAAGAAAGAAAGAAAGAAAGAAAAGAAGGAAATATTTGTTCCAAGATTTCAAGATACTCATTAATAAATCAGTAGGATTATACTTTTAGATGAATGTGCCTTAAAATATTATGTAGCTACTTTCTGCTTTCCCAATTTGTATATTTCCTATTACTTCCTTTGACAGAGATGAACTTTAATAATTCAAAATTTTCTTAATCAAAATTATTCCACTTTCTTCATTTAGAATTCTATCATTTTCATATCAATCATGTTCATGACCAATTAATATGAAAAAATGGGTCATTATAAGCATATGTGTAAGACTGGTATTAAAATTTAAACAGGCCTTGTTTAGGCTTCAGAGTGGCTTACTTTAATCATTGTCTTCTCCTTAATTACATTTCAAATCAACAAATATTTATGAAGAAGCAAAGCAGTGTGGTAGGTGTGATGGAGGAAACAAAGATAGATGAGTACCTCATGGGATTTTATGATACCAGATCTTGGAGGAGACCTAGTCTCAAAGAGCCTAAATCTAGTAAGGAACACAAAGTTCTGTGGTCAATGGTCCTGGTAAATACATGCTGTTCCTTACAATGGTGATAAGTATGATGAAGTGGTTGGATAAATAGTAATTAATCTTTAAAAAATCCAAAACTGACTAAAGGTAGGAAAAATGTGGAGATGTCTTTCAAAAGAAGTCATTTTACAAAATGACCTTATTTATCTGGTATTACTGGGGATTGAGCATCTCTAAGCACTAAAACATTTTTGATATTAAACATTTTGAAAGAACAGTTTTCTAAAATATATATTATTCTGACTTCTGAAATTGACCATGCCTTTAATCTTTGTTGCTATCTCAGAGTTATTGTTTAAATACTAATATGTTAGCAGCATAGCACGATTATACCCTTAGGAGCTGTTTTATGACACAGAGTTGTTTTTATTGGAAAAGCCCTACACTGATAGGATATTTGAATTAGTATATCTGATTATTTTTTTCTGCCTCTTGCCTGCTAGAAAATGCTCCTTATTGCTTCGGACTGTTGTCGATGTGCCTGCCTTGGTAACAACCCATTCAAACTGACATATTGAGATTTCCAGTGCAAAGGAAATAAAACTAAATAAAACAAAATCTGATAGCATTTTCCTTAAGAAAAAGAAAATAGGCTCTGGGTGAGTATTTAAAGGACATCCTTATGAGTAAACTGCAGGGACTTCTTGTTCTCTATTTTGCTGCTCAGAGATTTTATTTATTTACTTTGAAATTCTTTGTTGTATTCTGAATAGCAAAGCTTTCAGTTACATCCCATCTGATTTGGATAGGACTATATAGCACTATAGTATTTTTTGCATTTCTAAGTATTTTTTGATGAATATCTTCAAACTGGAGACTAATCTTTAAAAAGAGAATAAATGTCTATGTCCTTGTTATGCCAGAGAAGTCAAGCAAATTTAATAATTTGGAATTTGGCATTAAGGAATGTCAATCACAAATTCCACCGTGGCAAATGCTATGTATCTACTTGCTGAGAAGGAAATAACATCTACTCATTATATTGTTATTAAATGAGTATATATTTTGCTATAATGAGGTCAAGATCAAAGACAGAAATTCTTAGCACTCCTGCATCAGACCTACTAAATTTCTAGAGGAAGAGAATAGTTCAGAAAATGCAAACATGTATCATTCTGAATCTATTACAACTCAAAGAGCTCTCTGTATAATTGGCCAATGAAGCACCTCGAGAGAAATACTGTAGCATTTATAATATACCTCCATATTCTGAGCAAATGGATCCTTTGGATCACACAACGTTGAAGATATTCGATGGTTGCCACGGAAACATCGCTGACTTATGTTCTGGGGGACTGGAAATGTCTGCCGGATGATTGTTAACCTTCCAATTGACCTTCTTACAAGTTCCTGAACATCCACATCATTTATTTCCTATAAGATAAGAAATGGAATTATTAGCAATGCTTTAATATGGTAACAGAAACAGAAAACTATTAATGAGTTGTTATTTGTAAATGTTAAGGAATTCGTGACTATACTGCATTTGCTTAGTGCTTAGGACACATCCAAATGAAAACAATAATACATGTTAATTAAAATGATCAGCTCATTTATAGGCATTGTTTGTGCTTTATATTATATACATTAATGCCTAAATAATTCTAAATGGGGCAACTGCCTTAAATCCACCTTATCTGTAGTAATTTTCTAATATACCATGTTGAACATTGGAAAAATATTTGTCTAAACATTGAAAAAGCTCATAAAATCAGTGGGTTTCAAGGTACTTTGAGTACCCAGAAGATAGTTGCTATGTAAGAGGAATATATATTGTTCTTAGCAATGAAAAATGGGGTTTTTAAATAAAGCAAGTAAAGAAACCAAGAGGACATTTTAAAAAAAACTGTTTCCCAATTATTTCTTAGAACTGGTATTAATTTATACATTTCTCTTGGTAAAGAACAGATTAAACAAAGTGTTCATAAAATTGGAACATTTTTTATTATACAATGTGAACCAGAATAGATGAGTGAAAAAAACCCAATATTCTTTATCCAAATTGATGTTATCTTGCACATGAGTATTTGTCAAAGTCAAGGAATGTATTTTCTACTTCCTTCACCCCCTCCCACCTCCCAACTTCAGACTTAAATTTTAAGACTTGGCTCAATCATGGATGTAGAAATAATAAAAATGAAATAATATTTTTATATTATAACATCTATTCTAACTGGAATTAGAATAGAAATGATGAGAATAAATTTTAGTTTTAAGGCAGTCTTTACTAAAGCAGTTTGTGCTTCATAGTGTCCATTTAGAGTGTTTTAAACCAACAAAGCCTTTGCAATTAACATATTATCGGTTTCAATAGATTCTTACGGCAGCAGAAATAAAAGATTTGACACAAGATAAATTTTGGACTGTGGTGAGCGTTTCTTGGTTTTGATCTGAAGAATTATTAAAGAATAATGAAAAAGAAAAAGACTATTTACAGGTGTAAATTGTCTTCTTTTCCTTTCTAGATTAATTACATATTATTCTTATTTAAAGCATATATTAGTTTTAAAATTCATTATTTTTTATCTTCACAAAATAGAGATTTTCTGGAAATAAAATAATACCTGTCAGCTGTATGCAGTATAATATTCTGGATTTCTGGTCAATTGATCCCTAATGTACCATAAAAAATGATTTTTCTCATGTAAAATGCTGTCTTTTTCCTTTAGTCTATGTCCTTTCACTAACCCGCCAGAAACACTATCTGGCAAAAAGCGGTCACTTTTTAATTCTCTATTATCTATTCACAAAGCAGAATTAAACAGTCTCTCATCAACTTTCATTTTAAGTCTGAAATTTAACCAGAAACTTTAAAAAAGTAACTAATATTGCTTTTCAGTGTCTTTATTTTAATTCCGTGTTGTGCAGACAGGAATTTTCATTTAAAAGACAGTGAGAGATTCTACCACCTTTTTCATAATGTTAACTAAGTTTTGTTATATATGTGATCTTTTGTTCTTTAGTAATACTAAGATACAGGAACATTTTGTCAAACAGCACCATTTCTACCTGGCCCACATATGATGAACTATAAATCAGCATGTTAGTATAAAAACTTATATTAAGTCTCTGCTTTATATTTGACAAACATTAAACACTTCACCTATTGTCTCATTTTCTACTAAAAACTGCATTCTGAATCAGATACTGTGATTCTTACTTTAAAATAAAGAACCAGAGAAATCCAAGTTCTTCATTCAAAATATTCTTTATTCATGGTATGAATTTATAAATGTCATCAACAGAAACACTCTCTAAAGTAATTATACAAGATATCCACATTTCCTTATGGGAAATATTTAGATTAATATTCATGAATGATAGAAATTAAAACTATAAAGATATATTATTCTGGTATTAAACACATTGATGATTCTATAAGGAATAATAAAGTAATCTATCATGAGCCAAAGTCTTTAAGTGGACTATTTTCAAGCCCACAAAAAGGGATGATTTTGAAAGCTGAAGTTCTCAGGTGTCTAAGCAACTAAACTATATCTGAGGAAATGCCAATTTAAATTGAATATATTTTGCCTATTATTTTTTGGGAAAGGGAAAAGGAAGTAATTTTCTGGGAGGAAAGAATCTGCCATTCTGAATGAAGTTAACAGACAGTCTGTCTCAAAAAAATCACTTGCAGTTTTAGTTTTGACACCTGATCTCAAAAATAGTTTGATAACGATATGAAAACTTGATTAGGCAGCTATTTTATATTTACAGAACTTTACTTCTACCCTTTCAAAAGGTGCATATCAAGAGAGGCAGATGTAATGCTATGTAAACACTGAAAGTCAAATGAATATTTACTCTATTTTAAAGATACTCTTTTAAATGAAAAAAATATATAAGTAAACTACTATAATAAAATATGAAACTATTGTATAATCTATTAGAATCTACACTGTTCTAAGACTCTGAACTTTAAAAAATGTGCAAACCATCAGATTTTTAAAAAATCTAGAACCAGTTCAAACACTCATTCTCCCAAGCCTCCAGTACCAACAAATTATGCTAATCTCTATAAAGATATACAGAAATTTTCTGAGTTTTAAAGAATTTAAAGAGGTTGAATAACAAAATTGTTTGTTCTTTCTGTATTCTCTATATGAATGAGTATATTTCTGAATTAAGAATTAATAATAAAAGTGAAAAAAGATATTTTATTATATCTAACATATATATACACAGATATATACACAGATATATATATATATCTCTACATCTATATATATAGATATAGATACACACACACACACACACACACACACACACACACTTCTTTAGGAATAAGGCATACAGTCTTTCTTTTCCCAAAAAATAACTTACACAGATAATAAAAAATTATTAATAGTCAAGTAAAAATATTCCTATTCCCTTTGCTGTAATAGTTTAGTACAAGGTGAACCCTGAACTGTGTAAGAGAGAAGAAGAGGAAAGCTAAAACTTTGTTACAACTCCATCCAGAAACAGCCACTTCCCAGAACAAATCTTTAAGGAGAATTCAATCACTCCCAAATCTTTGTCGTGTATCAGCTTAGGTTTAAAATAATGAATTCCAGGGAAGGAAAGACTCTCAAAATCCATTAGATCAGATGACCATCTATACTGTATAAACTATTTTGGAAGAGACTTCCTTCTTTTCCCTTTTTTTTTTCTTTCTTTTTTTAAAATCTCAGCATCTAACAAAGTTTCTGTCTCATCATAGGTATTTGCTAAATGTTGATAAATTTAAAAATGAATGAACAAATGAAGTAATGGCAGGACTTCACCAAACTATCTCCTAAAGATAGATACCTGAAATTTTAAGTGTAGAAATGGATGCTTTCATGACTTCAACATCATCAAATAAGCCAGATTTTAGTAATGCCATTAAGCAGTGTACTATGTGGCGTAGTTTGAAAATATTATATTTTTTGTTGTTGCTTTTGCTAATGTTTATATTCTTCATGCTTTAGCAAAGATGATCCTTTCATGCTTCCACAAAGTTTAACATTAATGTGAAATAATTACACAAACATAATGTTGAAATATGGAACAAAACCAACTGTAGGCTATATACCAGCAGGAAATGCAGCAGAATGGTAACTTTCTGCTTGAGAGATTAGTAGTGTGCAGTTCAATTAATCACTAAACTAGGAAAAATGAACAACCTCCTTTACACATATAGGCTTTTAAAATCTAAACAACAACTTCTTTTTAACTGCAATACTGAATTGCAGCAATTACCTTAAATTACTTAAACAAGAAGTCAGGGCACCAAAGGTCAGGTTCAGTGTTATCAAAGAATAGAGGGTGCTTATAGCATGATGTTTCCTGCATCTCTAGACAATGCATATCTTTCTATCAGAATTTCTAACTTTTGTAAAACTTAAATAAAGTGTGAGGCCATCTGTTTCATGACCCTAGGGGGATGACAATACTTATATGGAAAGGCTGTTTGAGCTAGAGTCACTGATTGCAGGGAGAAGATAAATACCATTACCAACTACTAACATATGATTGATTATACCATATGAGGTAACACAGCCTCTCGCTTATTGCAAATGAAAAAAATATACTGTTTTCAAGTTCATACATCCATTTGTATCATGATGCACAGTGCCAACTTTGATTTATAGTACCTCTTTAAGAAACTATTGGTGCAATAGATTAAATAAATGTTTGCAACCCATTTTAAAATTAGCAACAAAATAGTAGCTATGCAAACCAAACTAGATAGATTCATGTTTTCCATGTTCAGTCAAATGGGCATTTGCATAGTTAGAGTTTTGCTGTTGTTGTTACTACTTCTAGAGTTTGTTAACTTCTTAGCAAATTTGAGAAATAGATGTTTCTTCTTTTATGGAAACTAGGACAAATTTAATTCATTCATTATAAATTTGTATAAGCAACTCATAAACAAAGTAAAGGTACTGAGAGTTAAGTTTCCAAAAGCATATTTTGTATCTCAGAGAAAATGAGGTAACTAAATGGAATCACTTAGAAGAAGGTTGACTGCAGAAATATGGATAATGATGATTTTTCCTAGGAATGAAAATACAGAAAACATGTTTGAACCTAGTTTAGGTAAAAATAATAACAAATATAAACTGTGGGCTGTGAACACCAGATTTTTCAGAAGCTAGGTGGTATTGACCTGCCCCAAAGAAATGACAGCTCTGTTCAAGGACTAGTAAGAAGGGCTGCATGTAAAAAGGACACAAGGGTTTCAGTAATGGTAAAGGTGAAGTTATAAAGTTATGACAGCTTACAGTAGAAAATCCAAGTGTGAAGGAGGGAAAAAAAGAATTGTGGTCTTCTATACTCCTAACATTTAGTGATTTATTTGCTGGTTAAATTGCTTTGTTTGTGTGGATGTTTTATTTGCAAAACAG